GCAAATCTGAATTTCTGGTACATCAAGCATGCACAAAACTTTACTGTATGCAATTACAGTTAATCCTGTACCAAGCAAATACATGTACCCACAAGAGATTTCTAAAGTTTAGGAATATTGGAAGATAGGAGTATTAATTAAGCACAACAGCTTAAGAAATGATGCTAAGTCTAAGTATGAAAAAAAAAAAAAAAAAAAAAAAGGTTCCATAACATATAGTATAGACCACCAAGGGAGAAGACTCCTGTTATTAATAATAAAAATCGGTAATAATAATTTGGTCTAATATAAAAACACAAAAGTTTCACTGTACCTTGTCTATTTTGTTGCCAACAAGCATTTTTATGATGTCTTTTTTTGTTGAATACATTTCTATTTCATTGAGCCATTCTTCCACTTTCTCAACTAAAGGGAAAAAAAACAAGATTTTCTTTAATGCTATCATGAACAGTCTCATCCATGACTGTACTATTAAAATTAGTGATTGAAAACAAACACAATGAAGCACTGAGAACTTTCACTGAATAAAATATTTCCTCAATGAATAAGTGCCCATGCTCTAATAAATGCCCTTTTCCAAAGAAGTGCCCACCCCCTTGGCCATTAAGTTAAACAAGCAACCCCCTTGAATAAGGACCCCCTCCCTCCCTCACAATTTTAGATAGGAAGGATAAAAGAAAAACCTGTCTCTGTTAACAGTTTATTTACAACTTTTGAAGCTTCAACTACAGCAAGATCAGTACAGGAGAATAGTTTCTTTTCCCTGAAGCCACTTTCACCACTCATCTCTATCTCTATGTGCTTGCAGAGTTCCTTTACGTGCGGTATCTGTTCTTTATATTTTTCCCCTATTGCTGTGCTAACTTAAATAGGCACCCACTTGAATAAGTGCCCTCCTTCAAATAAGTGCCTGTCCTTTCCACCAGAATTTTAAATCAGCGCCTGGGAACTTATTTGAGGAACTATGGTATGTACCATTGATGTTGTTAGCATAGGAAATCAGGGGAAACTTAATGCAAACTATTTCAGCATTTATTAATTTTCATTGGTGGTTTGACACCAACACAAATGTCAACTCACCACTGAAAGTTAAGAAATGCTTAAGTTTCTATTAGGTTGAAAACTACTGTGTATCAATATCAATGCTGCAATTTTGTCACCTTCTCTCACACTACAAAATCAACAAGACAATTTTTTTTAAAGAGGGATGACAGCAAGTAATTAGGAGGTGAAAATCATTTTATTTCTAGTACCTAAAATAACTCCTTGTGCTCCCCTGTAGTAGCTGGGAGTCAGTGTTCTGAAGCATTCCTGCCCTGCTGTGTCCTGAAACAGAAAAGTGATGTTATAACCGTTAAACTATCAAAACGAATTATCAAATTAATTATGAAGTAATTCGACAGTAAACCTTAGCTGTCACTCAAGCATCATGAATTACAGTTGTGTCATCATCCATCAACAGCAGTTCTTACCCAAATTGCTAGTTTTGCTTTATTTCCATCCACAGTCATAGTTTTAACCTTGAAGTCAACACCTGTACAGAAAGGTTCATGTAAAAAAACAAACAAACAAACAAAAAAAAAACCAGAATGATATGAACCATTTTTCTTTCTTCAAAATAAGAACCCTGAAACAAAGACATCACTTACCATGCAATAACAGAAATGGATCTTGGCCCTTTCACCCTTAGAGTGACCAGTATTCTATTTCTCCTCACAACATCAGCCCTGAATCACACATCCAGGTTATGAGAATAAAGGAAATGATCACCAAAAAAGAAACTCTTGATTCTTAGACAAATTCTTCTTGTTAGCACCTTAGGAGATGTAAAGAGAACAGTATGGAGAATATACATACTGATGTTAGGTTGCAAAGGGTTAACTGGAAAACAATGGCTACATGATTTAAAGAATAATATCCACATTCAATATCAGAGGAATTCTTCATATGTTATACAATAAATTATAAAGTATTTGTTTTTTCATAACAAAGTACTGATGACCTGGTGCCATTGTTTCAAGCTAGACAGCACAATTTATCCCATAAATTGCTAACTGCTGGTGATAGCAATACAGGCTATGCTATTGATCAGATGCAGGTTATTCAGTTGGTTAGTTTTTTCTAGCTTTTGAACAACCGAGCACAAAAGGTTACTTAAGAGCTGGCTAAACAGCACACTGTAATGGTTTTAAGTATGACTAGAGGATACATATATATAAATATCTTTGGTGCTGGTTACAAAGCATATAATGTCCAGATCTTTAGGACAGGAAGCATGAACTGTGCAATACCAGTAGAAGGTTTTATTTGTACAATCAACTCTCTGCTAATGAACAATCTTGTATGTAGTCAGCTCTTTCTACAGACACTTTTTTCACCTCTTAGTCAGACTCTGTTTTTACCCATTCCAGTCAGCTGACACTCCCTTGTCAACGGTTGCAGACACTTTTGAAAGTGAAAATTAGATTGTTCTTTTGTTTATCCTCTCATGATAGCTGACACCCCATACATACTAATTGACTCTTGGCAATGAAATTTGTCTAATTTGCAAATCAACAAAAATATCTCCTTTGACAAGGTAACAGAACAGTGGGCATCTGTTTATTCAAATCTCCATTTGGCCAAAAAAAGTGCAGTTAACACCTGCTTATGAATAGGCAGACAGCTCTACTAACAGACACTTTTCTCTCAATTCCTTAAGGTGTCTGTTTATGAGAGAGTTGACTACAGAGTGTAACTACAACCATGAAAAGACTTCAAAGGAACAATTGATTTCCATCCCTTAAAAGGATATGATGAAAGAGTACAAAATGCAAGAAGTTGTAATTAAACCTTTGCAACCTAACATGGATATCTATATTCTCCATACTGTTCTCTAAACATTTCCTAAGGTGCTGATAAGGAGAATTTGCCAAACAATCAAGAGTTTCTTTAGTTTGCCACCATTTGTGTTATTCTTGCGACCTTAATGTTTGATTCAGAGGTGATATTGTGAGGAGAAATTAGACGTCAATCACTCTAAGGAGTTAAAGGGTTAAGGTATTTTGAAATGCCAGATGGGTTGTTTTTGTGTTTCACTAATTTTTTCCAAGAATTATGTGAGGCAAGGTATAAACAAAGGCCAAAATACGGCCCTATATGAATTGAAACCACAACTACTAGATTTTTCAAAATGACTCAGTGTCGTGAAGATTTCAGAGTCTCATTTCTTTTTAACTCTTACCTATGGTGGATCCAATGTCAGGGTCAAATGTGTCATCAGTGAATCTTAGAAGCAGGCTGTGATTAGAAGAAGACAGCATTAAATAAAGAACTTCACAATAACGACAAGGACACCGATTTGTGCGGTTGAGATCGACAGCGAATTGTCACATGAAAGACAACAGCAAAACAATTCGAGAACAAATCTACATGGAAGAACTTTTAAAAATGAATTGATTTAAAACTTAGATCATGTGACTATAAATCTATTCACAATGATCCTCTGTTATGATACACGTTCGTTACTGCCATATTTCGAATTTGGAAGCCATTGACTCCGAAACGATTTTTGTACCTGGATTTTCCAACGCCACTTTCTCCAATAATTAAGATCTTTAGCGTGGTAAGAACATCGTTATCCATCTTTCAAATAAAAGTTTGATCTTTAAACCAGCTCCAATTTTATATACTAGTTGATTTATCGCTGAATTCGGCCAAAATCTAGGAGAATTCCATTCACTTCATCATGGTTATATTTTTACTTCGTAGATACGGCTTTACATTTGTGGACAAGACCGCTGATAACTGGAAGACCCCTAAAGGATCATGGGTGGTCCGTAAACTTCAATCAAAAGGTAGTCCCTGATCAAGATGTAATAAGCGAACGCATCCTTGACAACTTATCTTTCAAGGCAGCCTCCTCTCCCACAAAAAAATACCTACGTCACTCCTCAGTATCCAAATCGTCATATGGGTATAATTTCAAGTATTATTCCCTGTCAGGACCCCATGTCTAAACTTCACACTTCAGGGGTCTTAGAAAACTTTTTAAATATTTTTATCATGTGATAAAAAAATGAATGACATGAATTAAATTATTTTAACGTATTCGAGTTTTCATTCGTTTTCCTGCTTTGGGCTTGAAAAAGAAGTCGAATCGGCTTGGTTTAGTGAACAATTTTGAAATTTTTTAATTCCCTACCCACAGTGAAAGTGAACAAAACAAATAGTTTGATTGAATGCAACAGGAGCACATTTCAGTTGGGCATTGTGGAAGCGAAACCGAAGTAATCTCAACGGCCAGTCAGAACAAAGGGAAATAACACAAGGAGCCATTAATAAATTCAGTTAAAGAGAAGAAATATAACAGAGTGGTGGAAATTTCCTGGATCAATCAAAAAGTGACGTCAAGCAAAACCAGTGCAATTTTGTATTACTATGGACATTCAATTGAAATTGCTTGTAACAATAAATTTGATAAGGAGAGGGCCCCTTATAATCCATTGTGATGACATTCTTCCACCCTTGACCATCAAAATCAAAACGGCCATATGTTAAGTTCGATAGACATGCGTCACCTGAAGGAATATGCCTTCAAGCAGCCTCGTTTCTGGGGTCCTTATGGAAAGAAGAAAGAAGATTGTGAGAACGAGATTACCCAGAATGCTTTTCTTTGGGAACAGAAAAGGAATTAGACGAAGGCACATGTCGGCACGATTTGTAATTTTGACGAGACTTTCGTGAGGAGAAAATGAGGAAGCCCAGACAGAGGTTTCAACGAAACCAACAAAATGTCCTGTGGCAATCGCGAAGCTTTTTCAGACGAACAGAAGCAAACGAACATGGACAATTCTGAGAACAAACCATCTAGATGGACGAGGAGTAATTTTGCAACGTCAACATGAATTCAAGGTCCATAAATTGATGCACAATCATGATAATAAAACTTGACTCAGGTCACCCAACTTTAAACGTATACAATTCTAAGAACTTGCAACGTCAACATGGTCAGGTCCAAGCTTTTTCAGACGAATGGCCAGTGCACGATCATGATAATCCTTTGCCTGACTCAGGTCACCCAGCTCATCGTGTACAATACCCAGGCTATGTAAGAATTCGTCAACATGGTCAGGTCCAAGCTTTTTCAGACAAATGGCCAGGCACGATCATGATAATACTTTGCCTGACTCAGGTCACCCAGCCCAAGAGTGTACATTACCCAGGCTATTGTAAGAACTTGCAACGTCAATATGGTCAGGTCCAAGCTTTTTCAGACGAATGGCCAATGCACAATCATAACAATCCTTTGCCTGACTCAGGTCACTCAGCTCGTGGTATATAGAGCCCAGATTACTGTAAGATAGTGCAACGTCAACATGGTCAGGTCCAAGCTTTTTCAGACGAATGGCCAATGCACGATCATAATAATCCTTTGCCTGACTCAGGTCACCCAGCTTTTTGTGTACACTACCAAGGCTAAGAACTTGCAACGTCAACATGGTCAGGTCCAAGCTTTTTCAGACGAATGGCCAGTGCACGATCATGATAATCCTTTGCCTGACTCAGGTCACCCAGCTTTTTGTGTACACTACCCAGGTTAGTGTAAGAAATTGCAACGTCAACATGGTCAGGTCCAAGCTTTTTCAGACGAATGGCCAGTGCACGATCATGATAATCCTTTGCCTGACTCAGGTCACCCAGCTTTATGTGTACAATACCCAGGCTATTGTAAGAATTTGCAACGTCAACATGGTCAGGTCCAAGCTTTTTCAGACGAATGGCCAGTGCACGATCATGATAATCCTTTGCCTGACTCAGGTCACCCAGCTTTTGTGTACAATACCCAGGCTATTGTAAGAACTTGCAACGTCAACATGGTCAGGTCCAAGCTTTTTCAGACGAATGGCCAGTGCACGATCATGATAATCCTTTGCCTGACTCAGGTCACCCAGCTTATCGTGTACAATACCCAGGCTATTGTAAGAATTTGCAACGTCAACATGGTCAGGTCCAAGCTTTTTCAGACGAATGGCCAGTGCACGATCATGATAATCCTTTGCCTGACTCAGGTCACCCAGCTGTGCATACCCAGGCTATTGTAAGAACTTGCAACGTCAACATGGTCAGGTCCAAGCTTTTTCAGACGAATGGCCAGTGCACGATCATGATAATCCTTTGCCTGACTCAGGTCACCCAGCTCAACGTGTACAATACCCAGCCTATTGTAAGAGCTTGCAACGTCAACATGGTCAGGTCCAAGCTTTTTCAGACGAATGGCCAGGGCACGATCATGATAATCCTTTGCCTGACTCAGGTCACCCAGGTCTGTGTGTACAAAACCCAGGCTATTGTAAGAAGTTGCAACGTCAACATGGTCAGGTCCAAGCTTTTTCAGACGAATGGCCAGTGCACGATCATGATAATCCTTTGCCTGACTCAGGTCACCCAGCTCATCGTGTACAATACCCAGGCTATTGTAAGAACTTGCAACGTCAACATGGTCAGGTCCAAGCTTTTTCAGACGAATGGCCAGTGCACGATCATGATAATCCTTTGCCTGACTCAGGTCACCCAGCTTTTTGTGTACAATACCCAGGCTATTGTAAGAACTTGCAACGTCAACATGGTCAGGTCCAAGCTTTTTCAGACGAATGGCCAGTGCACGATCATGATAATCCTTTGCCTGACTCAGGTCACCCAGCTTTATGTGTACAATACCCAGGCTATGGTAAGAACTTGCAACGTCAACATGGTCAGGTCCAAGCTTTTTCAGACGAATGGCCAGTGCACGATCATGATAATCCTTTGCCTGACTCAGGTCACCCAGCTCATCGTGTACAATACCCAGGTTATTGTAAGAACTTGCAACGTCAACATGGTCAGGTCCAAGCTTTTTCAGACGAATGGCCAGTGCACGATCATGATAATCCTTTGCCTGACTCAGGTCACCCAGCTCATCGTGTACAATACCCAGGCTATTGTAAGAACTTGCAACGTCAACATGGTCAGGTCCAAGCTTTTTCAGACGAATGGCCAGTGCACGATCATGATAATCCTTTGCCTGACTCAGGTCACCCAGCTCATTGTGTACAATACCCAGGCTATTGTAAGAACTTGCAACGTCAACATGGTCAGGTCCAAGCTTTTTCAGACGAATGGCCAGTGCACGATCATGATAATCCTTTGCCTGACTCAGGTCACCCAGCTTCTTGTGTACAATACCCAGGCTATTGTAAGAACTTGCAACGTCAACATGGTCAGGTCCAAGCTTTTTCAGACGAATGGCCAGTGCACGATCATGATAATCCTTTGCCTGACTCAGGTCACCCAGCTCATCGTGTACAATACCCAGGCTATTGTAAGAACTTGCAACGTCAACATGGTCAGGTCCAAGCTTTTTCAGACGAATGGCCAGTGCACGATCATGATAATCCTTTGCCTGACTCAGGTCACCCAGCTCATGTGTACAATACCCAGGCTATTGTAAGAACTTGCAACGTCAACATGGTCAGGTCCAAGCTTTTTCAGACGAATGGCCAGTGCACGATCATGATAATCCTTTGCCTGACTCAGGTCACCCAGCTTTTTGTGTACAATACCCAGGCTATTGTAAGAACTTGCAACGTCAACATGGTCAGGTCCAAGCTTTTTCAGACGAATGGCCAGTGCACGATCATGATAATCCTTTGCCTGACTCAGGTCACCCAGCTCATCGTGTACAATACCCAGGCTATTGTAAGAACTTGCAACGTCAACATGGTCAGGTCCAAGCTTTTTCAGACGAATGGCCAGTGCACGATCATGATAATCCTTTGCCTGACTCAGGTCACCCAGCTTTTTGTGTACAATACCCAGGCTATTGTAAGAACTTGCAACGTCAACATGGTCAGGTCCAAGCTTTTTCAGACGAATGGCCAGTGCACGATCATGATAATCCTTTGCCTGACTCAGGTCACCCAGCTTTTTGTGTACAATACCCAGGTTATTGTAAGAACTTGCAACGTCAACATGGTCAGGTCCAAGCTTTTTCAGACGAATGGCCAGTGCACGATCATGATAATCCTTTGCCTGACTCAGGTCACCCAGCTTTTGTGTACAATACCCAGGTTATTGTAAGAACTTGCAACGTCAACATGGTCAGGTCCAAGCTTTTTCAGACGAATGGCCAGTGCACGATCATGATAATCCTTTGCCTGACTCAGGTCACCCAGCTCATCGTGTACAATACCCAGGCTATTGTAAGAACTTGCAACGTCAACATGGTCAGGTCCAAGCTTTTTCAGACGAATGGCCAGTGCACGATCATGATAATCCTTTGCCTGACTCAGGTCACCCAGCTTTTCGTGTACAATACCCAGGCTATTGTAAGAACTTGCAACGTCAACATGGTCAGGTCCAAGCTTTTTCAGACGAATGGCCAGTGCACGATCATGATAATCCTTTGACTGACTCAGGTCACCCAGCTTATTGTGTACAATACCCAGGCTATGGTAAGAATTTGCAACGTCAACATGGTCAGGTCCAAGCTTTTTCAGACGAATGGCCAGTGCACGATCATGATAATCCTTTGCCTGACTCAGGTCACCCAGCTCATCGTGTACAATACCCAGGCTATTGTAAGAACTTGCAACGTCAACATGGTCAGGTCCAAGCTTTTTCAGACGAATGGCCAGTGCACGATCATGATAATCCTTTGCCTGACTCAGGTCACCCAGCTCATCGTGTACAATACCCAGGCTATTGTAAGAACTTGCAACGTCAACATGGTCAGGTCCAAGCTTTTTCAGACGAATGGCCAGTGCACGATCATGATAATCCTTTGCCTGACTCAGGTCACCCAGCTTATAGTGTACAATACCCAGGCTATTGTAAGAACTTGCAACGTCAACATGGTCAGGTCCAAGCTTTTTCAGACGAATGGCCAGTGCACGATCATGATAATCCTTTGCCTGACTCAGGTCACCCAGCTCATCGTGTACAATACCCAGGTTATTGTAAGAACTTGCAACGTCAACATGGTCAGGTCCAAGCTTTTTCAGACGAATGGCCAGTGCACGATCATGATGATCCTTTGCCTGACTCAGGTCGCCCAGTTCATCGTGTACAATACCCAGGCTATTGTAAGAACTTGCAACGTCAACATGGTCAGGTCCAAGCTTTTTCAGACGAATGGCCAGTGCACGATCATGATAATCCTTTGCCTGACTCAGGTCACCCAGCTCATCGTGTACAATACCCAGGCTATTGTAAGAACTTGCAACGTCAACATGGTCAGGTCCAAGCTTTTTCAGACGAATGGCCAGTGCACGATCATGATAATCCTTTGCCTGACTCAGGTCACCCAGCTCATCGTGTACAATACCCAGGCTATTGTAAGAACTTGCAACGTCAACATGGTCAGGTCCAAGCTTTTTCAGACGAATGGCCAGTGCACGATCATGATAATCCTTTGCCTGACTCAGGTCACCCAGCTCATTGTGTACAATACCCAGGCTATTGTAAGAACTTGCAACGTCAACATGGTCAGGTCCAAGCTTTTTCAGACGAATGGCCAGTGCACGATCATGATAATCCTTTGCCTGACTCAGGTCACCCAGCTTTTTGTGTACAATACCCAGGCTATTGTAAGAACTTGCAACGTCAACATGGTCAGGTCCAAGCTTTTTCAGACGAATGGCCAGTGCACGATCATGATAATCCTTTGCCTGACTCAGGTCACCCAGCTCATAGTGTACAATACCCAGTCTATTGTAAGAACTTGCAACGTCAACATGGTCAGGTCCAAGCTTTTTCAGACGAATGGCCAGTGCACGATCATGATAATCCTTTGCCTGACTCAGGTCACCCAGCTCATGGTGTACAATACCCAGGCTATTGTAAGCAATTGCAACGTTAACATGGTCAGGTCCAAGCTTTTTCAGAAGAATGGCCAGTGCACGATCATGATAATCCTTTGCCTGACTCAGGTCACCCAGCTCCATGTGTACAATACCCAGGCTATTGTAAGAATTTGCAACGTCAACATGGTCAGGTCCAAGCTTTTTCAGACGAATGGCCAGTGCACGATCATGATAATCCTTTGCCTGACTCAGGTCACCCAGCTTTTTGTGCACCTCACCCACGTGTTGGTAGATAACTGCAATATCTAAGCCAGGGTCGTGCTCGTTGACAATGGTTAAGTCTAATGCCATATCGATGAAACGTCTTGAAGTTTCGTATTCACTATGCATATAGCAAAATTTACTCATTCTACGGAGGTCCATCGCATGGTTCTTGATCAAAAAGCCACTTTGGTCGACTTGAGAAATAACCTTCTTAGAAAAACATCTCTCAAGTTCTGGGGCTAAATTTATCAAATGAGTAACATGTCTGCTGTTTATTAGAGCATAGAACTCGTCGTTGTCCCTTGATAGATATTTTTCTACAAAACGACTGAATGATCCAATCACTCCACTGACGACCTCGTTGTGCTTATCATCCGAATGAGCTGCAGCCAAAGTCTTAATGGAATTATGTACAACCTGATGCACACGAATGTAAACGTCAGTTTCGTCTCTTTCAAACATCAGCAGGGAGCACCTTTGTATCTTCAAACGAATCATCTCTTTGTCTTGAATTTCTTTATCCACACTTGTGATAAAGTCTTCAATGATATTAAGACTTAATGGTTGTGGTGCACACAGGGACAGGAAATTAAAGGCGTGATGCATAATTTTGTTGGATTCCATAGCTGTTTCTACGGCCAGTGTTGTTGCTGTGGTCATGGACTTTGCATAGCTTGGGTTGACTTCGGCAAGAAATGTCTCCATGGCATTTCTTTGGCCTGTTTCAAGTTTTGCAAGATAGTCTTTCCAGCCAAAATTAGATGTCTGTCGAACTTCTCTGACATAAGTGGCGGCACTTGCCAAGGCGAGAGGCTGGTAGTCCAACGCCTGAGCAACTTTGATTTCCATCTCTTTGTCCGTGATTCCTGAGAGCTTTTCCAATAAACAACTGACATCATCAAGATTCATTCCGTTGCTTATTGAGATGTGTTTGTTGAAGGAACTTGCTTGAGGAATTGACCCACTGTCTTGAGTTGTGATAAGCAACTGGCCTCTTGCCCACATCTCATTTTCGGCTTCGGGTAGATGGACATGCACATGTGATAGACTCGCGACATTATCAACTACGAGCAGCCACGATGTATAAAGCCCAATTTTCGTTCCGATCAATGCCCTAAGATTGGTGATTTTCTCATTTGTTGTCAAGTCCTCTGAATGGAGGGTGGTTGTCACCGCGTACTCGGGACACTTAAGACGCCGTGAAAAAGCCACATATGATTGTAGCACAGTATCTGGACTTTCACCATTTATCGTCATCACAAATGAGGTACCATCTGGAAGATCTTTAATTTCTCTGTAGAATCGTTCAGTCACAAGACCCGCTAGTTGAGACTTTCCACTTCCAGGATTTCCGGAGATGTAAAGGTAACTTAACCTGTCTTTATTTGCTGTTTTAAGTTCTCTAAGCTGTTGCATTATTTCGGCCACCTCTCGGTCGCGACTTGTTACGTCATGTGAGGGTTTAGGAGGGAGGACACAGAAGGGGGAGATATCATTGTTTAACTGATCTTCAAGGACCTGTCTTTCGCGCTCTTTCTCCTGAAGCTCCTGCTTAAGATCGTCAACCATTTTCAAGACATCTTTCAGTTCCTCCGTGGGAAAGCTCGTTTGATTTTTAATCTCTTGAATTTTCATTGTGGAAAGACCGAGCGCTTGAAATGCAGTGTCAACTTTGCCAATGATGTTTTGAAACTGCAGGTCTGAAAGGTTTCCTTCCGACATGTGCGCAAAATCTTCATTTCGAAACTTTCTGAGGGCATCGACATTTGATCTGACAACTGGGCTGAGGCTGTGAATACAATCTGAGTAAAGAATAGCATAGAAAAGCATCGTACAATCCCATTCTGCTCTGTTTCCGCCAATCATGGTTGTAAGGAGATGCGCATTTCTTTTTTGGTTCCGAGCAGATTCCTTGTTTTTAAAGTCCACTCCATTTCTTGGTTCATCCTTCCATTCCCCTGACGTTGTTGCACCGTAGCGATTGTCCCATTCTTGTTTGAAGATTATTCGCAGACCATCAGTTAATACATCAGTGACAACGTAACAAATCCTGTAGTAGTTGAGCTGCTCTTTGCTGTATTCCATCGCCATGACGATATTTACGTTTGAAAGGGCCTTAGTAGAGAGAAATTGACTTATATTAGCGTGTTCAGACTATATGTTTTCTCAGTTTTTAGAGATGTTTGAATATGAGTGGTTCTTATCAGCCCTCATTTGTGGATAAATTGACTGTTTCAAGCCCACTGCCCATTTTCACCTGTCCGATTACAAGTGTTTGTAGTTGCACAGGCGAAATCGGACAGTTTAGCAGCCAATAGAAATAAACTATTCAGTCAATGCCAGCCAATCAAAATGAAAAATAAACTTCTTGAGTGGCCAGTTTGGGAGGTCCACATTGAAAACAAACATGGACGAAATTAACCGGTCCAATGACCATTATCAGTATCAATAAAAAAGTTATGCGCTCTTACATCAAACTTTTCACTCCTGAGTTTCTCAAATTTTGGTATTTTAACAATTAATTGGTAATTGCAGAGTTGCAGTACAAGTTTCTTTATGCCGTATTTCCATGAATAGAATCGAAAGTTGCGGTGTAACGAGCTAATCTCAAATTCTGAAGTGTGCTGCGTATTTGCGTTATTGTTGTTTCTTGTTCAGTGGGTCCATTGTGTAAATATCGATGAACCTTTTTAGCATTTAATTTAACTTATTCTGATGAGAAATTCCATTAATAGAGGAGCTTAATCAACCGTATTGATCGATAAAGAAACAAATAATGTGTTTGCAAGCAAGGACCCATTTGAATTCGCGAAAGAACATCAGCAGTAATCGACTGTATCTATTATCAATGCAAATACGTAGTGTGAGTTTAATTCGTAATGAGAGCATGCGTATCTGATCAGGTGCGGTAATGCGATGATTTCAGGAATATTTTGCTGTGTCATCCTTACTATAATAAGTATGAGGTCAAACAAACCATTAATCATTCTGCGTCGTTTTACGGTTGCTTTGTTTAGTTGAAAAATAACGGCACAAAATCAAGCACTTGCACATCCTGCCAGAAGATGTAAAGATCTCGATTGGAGATTTCTCAAGCAGTGGAAAGCAAAAGACTTTAAAGCGAAAATTCCCTTCTGTCGCGAATGACAGAAGGGGTGAGCGTATCGAAACCTTCGATCTCTTATTGTAGTATTTGAAAGCTTAAAGTAGGCACTTCCCGGCACCTTTCTTCTAATACTTTTTACCGTTTCCATATACTCGTGTTATCTAGAATCTCCAGAAATTAATAGGTTTCAGTTATTTCTGTATCACAATTTCAGTTATACACGCATCCTCAGAAATCGTATTTGGAGTGTAGCTAGTCAACGAAGGTCAACTTGGTTCGAGTTTTGGCTCTGATGATGGTTTATCGCGATCAAATGTTTTTTTAACAAGTATAAATGTGAGACATAGTTAGATGCTACACTGGTTTCAACATATTTTATACCAGTTCTTCTCATCGACACTTCTGTTTGTTCTTTTGGCAGTAAAGAAGACTTTCTATATGATCAAATTATGTAAATTGTCAGAACGTCATGACGAGGAGCGTGGGCGGAGTTAGCCAATTCCAAACAAACTGGTGATTTGGTGGAATAACAATTGAAGTTTAGGCAAGTATGCTCCTCGAAGTCACCGCTAGCTTATACCAAACTGGTTTTTCTTACAAGGATTACGTGATAATAAGTAAGAAGTACAGCTGTGCGCTGATATCATAGTAAGGACTGAGTGGTTCTAAGGACTTGAACATTTTGTCTTAGGCCGAAACCAGTCAAATTAATGCAATTTGATTTCGTGACTTGACGGTACGTAAACAGGACTTTGGTCTTAAATGACACATTTGAGTTTTCGGGATCAAGATTCGGCTGAGCATACTATAAATTAAACTTAAAACAGATACGACAAATTATGAATGATACCCACTGTTTCCAGTGATTCTTGAATAATTCAACACAGAGACATGGATTTCGCGTTAACGAGTTGTTTTGTCAAAATAATCATCCGTTGTGACATTCGATCGCCTAAGGGCAAGTTTTACAAGTATTATTATGAATAACAGATCGATACGTGCGTGTTAAGCCCCAATCGAAACGACGTCATGTAGCTCGCCTGGCTAGCAATTATTGACTTCTAGCTCTTAAAATGAGACAGTAGACGCCACGTGAAAGAAATTTTCAAATCTTTCGACGCAAATCGACGCAAGATCTATAGTTATCGAGAATGAAATTCAGGAAGATAACTCGGAGATTGACGAAACAAAGGTTGCGTCGTAACTAGGGGAAATAACTTATTTTATTGTTTTTTTAGAGGGCACGGTAACGAATCTTGCAATCTGCAATCTGATTGGTTCTTTACCCGGTCAGTATTTTCCTGTCTCTGCCCACGGGCCACGGTAACGCTTTAGTGAGTCGCCAAGTACATCCCAACTTTCGTTACCATTTTTCATAAATATATCTCCTTTTTCCGGCTGGGCAGTATTTTCCAGCAAACACGTCGGTCACTACCTCAAGCCGATGAATAACTTATGAATCCTCTCTTTTCTCTCACTCAAATCACTTTGGTTTACATAAAAATATTGGTTTCAGAATGAATTTGTATAAACAATAGTGTCATTACGTTGGTTGACAAGAGGCTTAAAACCCGTCTGCAATTAATTTTAATCGTTCACAAAAAGTACCTAGAAAGTTAAAACGCGAGGTATTTGGTTACAATTAAACTGAACGATGGAACTTTCATTCATTTAATACCTGAATTTTCTCAAGCAATTTGTTCGCAGTGAAAGAGCGAGCGAAGTTTTAATTTAAGTTCTACAACAAATATACGCTCTCGGTGAGTTTTTCCAAATCTGTTCAATTTGAACATTTGTACCGTAAATTGCACAACAGAAACTGAAGGAATTTTTGAGAAAAGGCCGCATTAAATTTGGAGTGTGCCATTCGAATTTAGTTCTTGTGAAGGAAAGACCAGATTTACACACGCCATTGCAGCAAACAAACGAGCAAACTCTCACAACTTCAAAATAAAAAAAATGAATTTACTCACAATTATTTTCCTCGCCGTTTACTTAATGAACAGAGGTAAATCTTCGTACATGAATGAATCGTCGATGAGAGTGAATAATACTTTCCGTCAGATCATTGACTGTTTTTGAAGAAAACATTGTCGTGACAGTCCTTGCCAAACTAGTTCCGTTGTTTTTCAAATGTTCTTACGCTTTTTTTTTTACTTACGCGCTCTCTAATTGACAGGTGTCAGATAGTGACAGATACTTGTAAAAATAATGTTTCAAAATTTGTTTGGAAGCCTTTTAAATTATCGTTACGGAAATTAAAATGTTTCGCTGACGCATCTCTCTTGAATTTGCATCACCTCTATTTTAACTACCATTTACTCGCTCAAAAACTGTTCAGTTTATGGAAGATCTTGCCGTATTTACAGCCCTAAATCATTCGGGTTCTTTCAGAAAGAATTTCGTAAAGTTTCAAAAAAATAAATATGTTATTTACCGGCTAAGGGTCGGTCCGTATGGTGAAAAACTGTGACCTCAGTCTTGAAAATGCTGCCCTCGGCCTACGGCCTCGGGCAGTATTTTCAAGACCTCGGTCACAGTTTTCCACCATACGGACCTCCCAGCCAGCAAATGACATATATGTACTTTACACATTATTTAACTCAAGAGCTAAAGGAATTGAACCTTACAAGTGCAGTTCAATATGTCAATGTCCGGGCCTTATTTCTTCGCCAATACTCTTGGGGTACCTGATGGTGAAAATCCGAAATGTTTCTTGAGTTTTTCGAGAACTTTCGTATATTTATGTACATGTATGTTTTGAATGACTCCTACTTAATAGATTTAAATTTTCACTGAGATTTGACATGAGTTAGCTTCCACTGTCTCTTAATTAATCTGTTTTGGCGGGATTTTTGTAGGTGATTTGTTTTAGAACTATCGCTGTTTTAAAGCGGATGGCAAAGCAAGCCCAAAACGGAAGTATTTTATGGGAAAATTCCCTTGTGTCTTGAATGACAGATGAGGTGACCGCATCGAAACCTTTGTTCCCTTACTATACAACCTTTTCCCCAAGAATTTAATACCTTTTACCGTTTTCAATTTAGTACACCCGTAATATCTAGAATCTCCAAACATTACTAGCTTTCGGATATTTCGGTAGTTTCGGTAATGGTTTTCTCGATTACAGGTTTCTCAAAGAATGGAAAGCGAAAGCATCCGCAAAGGTAAAATTCCCTTCTCTTGTTTCGCATGCATCGAATTACTGAAGAGGCGTCTGGACAGGACAGATATGTGAACCGTAACGAAAATTTCGTTAACTTACAACCATATTTATGATAAATTGACCTTTTGAGAACTGTTAGCAGGAAACTCCAAAGGTACGAAATAGGTGTTACATAGTGTTACGCGCGTTATCAGAAATCGTACTTGGAGAGTAAACAGCCAACAAAGGTAAATTGAGGATTTGGCTCTGTTGATAGTCTATCGCAATCAAATGTTTTTTAAATGCTGTCTTTACCTGGATATCAACATACAATTTACAGTTTCTTCTTACTTGGTTTGTTCTTTTTAGCGCAAAAGACTTTCTAGTGATCGAATTATGTTTGTCAAACCACGAAGAGTAGAATTCCACTGTGACCTTCTAGAATAACAATGAAGTCTGCTCGAATTCAGTAGATCAAATTCAAGATACATTCCGTGATAATAAGTAAGAAGAACACGCTGATATCATAGCAAGGGTTGAGTTGTTAAAAGGACTTGAACATTTTGTCGAAGGCCGAAATCAGTCAAATTAATTCAATTTGATTTCGTGACTTGACGGTACATAAACAGTACAAAGAAACGAAGAACTTTGATCTATGGGCGGCCGTCACCACCAAAAACACAAGGATGTCAAATAGATCAGCAAATACAAAGCTGATCTAAAGATCAGCTGCAGGACAGCATAGCTGATAAAGGAATGGCATGACCAAATTATGTTCCTCGAACGCTATGGTAAGTAAAACTGATATCCTTGATCTGTTTTGACATTTTTCAATCAAACATGTAGTGTTTGCCAAAGC